TGAAAGTGGGATTGGGAATATTTTCGAGTTCGTCTATCATTTGTTTGTCTGCTTGGTGTCTGAATGTTACGTCTTTATTTCTGTACAGTATGTCGTGTTTGAGCGGTGCTGCGTCAACTCTATTAACGGGTTCTTCCCCTGGTTTGGGAATATCATTTTCGTCTAAACGCAGATCTAACTTAGTGCCTGGACCTGTATAATTGTGCCCTGGGAGATGTTTTTCTCCGGAATATTTTGCCCATGGGAATCCAGGAAGAGAACCCAATGACTTTTGAATGTCTCCCGCACCGAAATACGTTTTAGGAGGATGGACATTTATTAAAGACATATTTGTTCAATAAACACCATATATTTTTAATACGAAAGATTTAATACAAGGAGAAAGCGATAGAAATGAATCACTTTATGCAATGTCACGAGCGATCCTAATAAGAGCGGTCATATAAGAGTAGTTTGAAAAATGAGGTCACGAGCGATCCTAATAAGAGCGGTCATAGTTATCTCCCGTCTTACACTATTGGCAGTCATAATTTAAAGGTCACGAGCGCTCTTATTAGGATCGCTAGATATGCGTCATCCTTTTGTTCTTCACCACTTGTTCTATTTTTCGAAAATCTGTATCAACAATTTTGAAACCTAGGATATTTGTCACAGAGTTTGGTAAAAAATTCTTGGCCTTTTTCTATCCCTTTACCGATGGTTTAAATATTCTTCGTGATATGAAATGTTGGCATCTAATAAAACTTGTGACTGGAATAAAACAAAAATTGATATTTTGAAAAAAAACAGCAAATTAATCTTAATTCCACCCTGTCGTCTTATGATTAAATCAAACAAAAAAAAGAACATACCTTGATTTTTGTATCATTAAATTCCTAATCTTCAACAAAAACATGGCTAACAGTTGAGAGTCTAGACTGTCTGTGCTGACGTTGCACGCGTGATATGTTAATTATAGCGTGACATATATCCAGTGATCAATAGACGCGTGACTGTTACTAGGCGTTAAAGGTAATTTATTAAATCAATAATACTCTAGACAACTAACTGTGTATAAACAGTGTTACCTCCCATTAATCAGCTGAGGTTTTTATTTCGCATTTCTCTTATATGTTGTAATTCTTTCAACTCGTTAGATCTTTTCACTGCATCGCTTATATCTACTCCTGAGGAAATTTGTTGTTTGAGACAAAATTGGCCACTTTGGGGATGAGAGATGTTAGCGCAGAGAAGAAACCGTCTCCTTCGAATTTTTTTTGTTCGTGTTTTAAAATTAAAGACATTTTTAATGCGGTTATTTTTTACTGTATTATTATTAGTGATTCTTGTCTGTGGTTTGGGTAATTTATATGGAGTCTGTTATAATACAGTTTGGGGGGAATCTGTTATAATACATTTTTAACAGTTTGGGGAGTCTGTTATAATACATTTTTAACAGTTGTGTCTTTTCGGATATGACGCATTGAAAAAAGCTGCGCATGCGCAGAAGTGAAATGCGTCATATCCGAAAAGACATATACTACTCCACCACCCCCTCACTAAAATGGCCATAACTTCGCCAATTTTGACCGCAGAGGTATCATTTTTGTTGCAAACGAAAGTTGAACATGTCATCTATCTATTTCAGTCGAAAACAGAAATTCGCATTTTTTGAAATCTTTCGGGAAAACCGACTTTGAAGTTCTACCCGAATTTTCAAGAGGGAAATTTGCTTATATTTTGGTTTGGGAAAAAATCTGAAACTCAAAGTGCTGTGACAGGCAGAGTTTTCACGATAGCGACTTGAAATTTGAAACACAACAACTTCCAATAGGTATGTACCTTCGGTGCAAATTTCAACTTTCCAGCTCTGATAGCCTTGGAACGCGAGCCTGTCAAAGTTTTGGTCTTCATCCCATTGAAAATGCAGTGCAGAAAGACGCTGTAGGCGGACTGCCGACCCCACCCCTGAACTAAAATGGCCATAACTTCTCCAATTTTGACGCTAGAGGAATAATTTTTGCTGCAAACGAGAGTTTAACATTTCCCCTATCTATTTCAGCCGAAAACAGAAATTTGGAATTTTGGAAAACTTGAGAGAAAATCGACTTTGAAGTTTCACCCTAATTTCCAAGAGGAAAATCGCATATTTTTTGGTTTGGGGAAAAAGTTTGAGACCAAAAGTGCTGTAACTGGCAGAGTTTTCAAGATAGGAAGCTGAAATTTGAAACACAACAATTTCAGATGGGTGTGTACCTTCAGTGCAAATTTCAACTTTACACCTTTGATAGTTTTCCAATGGCAGCCTGTTAAAGTTTTGGTACTCACCCCAACCAGTGCAACGAGACTCTATAGAGGGACTGTCGACCCCCACCCCTCAACTAAAATGGCCATAACTTCGCCAATTTTGACCGCAGAGGTATCATTTTTGTTGCAAACGAAAGTTGAACATGTCTTCTATCTATTTCAGTCGAAAACAGAAATTCGCATTTTTTGAAATCTTTCGGGAAAACCGACTTTGAAGTTCTACCCGAATTTTCAAGAGGGAAATTTGCTTATATTTTGGTTTGGGAAAAAATCTGAAACTCAAAGTGCTGTGACAGGCAGAGTTTTCACGATAGCGACTTGAAATTTGAAAAACAACAACTTCCAATAGGTATGTACCTTCAGTGCAAATTTCAACTTTCCAGCTCTGATAGCCTTGGAACGCGAGCCTGTCAAAGTTTTGGTCTTCATCCCATTGAAAATGCAGTGCAGAAAGACGCTGTAGGCGGACTGCCGACCCCACCCCTGAACTAAAATTGCCATAACTTCTTTAATTTTGACGCTAGAGGAATACTTTTTGCTGCAAACGAGAGTTTAACATGTCCCCTATCTATTTCAGCCGAAAACAGAAATTTGGAATTTTGGAAAACTTGAGAGAAAATCGACTTTGAAGTTTCACCCTAATTTCCAAGAGGAAAATCGCATATTTTTTGGTTTGGGGAAAAAGTTTAAGACCAAAAGTGCTGTAACTGGCAGAGTTTTCAAGATAGGAAGCTGAAATTTGAAACACAACCACTTCAGATGGGTGTGTACCTTCAGTGCAAATTTCAACTTTACATCTCTGATAGTTTTCCAACGGCAGCCTGTTAAAGTTTTGGTACTCACCCCAACCAGTGCAACGAGACTCTATAGAGGGACTGTCGACCCCCACCCCCTCACTAAAATGGCCATAACTTCGCCAATTTTGACCACAGAGGTATCATTTTTGTTGCAAACGAAAGTTGAACATGTCTTCTATCTATTTCAGTCGAAAACAGAAATTCGCATTTTTTGAAATCTTTCGGAA